TATTTTTTAGTAATTTTGTGTCATTTTTAACAATAATGTTAAAAGTATTTACACGTGACTAAAATATGTTTGTTCCAACAAACTTCACATAACAGTGCTTCATTACTTCCCATCATCCCATTTCTTCCTTCTGCTCTTGTCGTCTTGTAATTTAAGTAAACAGAATCACATTCACTAATGATCAACTAATGACTGTCATTGTTAAAAAAGTATTTTTTAACTTTTTTACTTTCTGCTATTGTCTTTGTATTTATGGCTAGGAAATGTCCGCCACGCTGCCTCAATGCGTGTTGGCGAACTTCACATGCCTTCGAAATTTTCTCTGACATACAGGTTTCCCCACGATGTTTTCCTTCACCGCCGAGCACGTGGTAAATCAACAATTAAAATTGCAATTAACTATTTAATTGGTGCCGGCGGTGATCGAACCCAGGTCCCGTACTGTGAAATTTACAGCTTGCCCTAACAATCTGAGCTACCACGGCTTAATCATATACACACACAATATTTAAATATAATTTGTTAACACTAAATCATACACACGTAAGAAAATAACAGAAAGAAAAGTAAGTTTGTCAATAGAATAAACACTTACATCCATGGCTTTGATGGTTGAAGTAACAAAATGTAGTAGATCCACTGCGGTCAAACGACCATACACTAGCTCCATGACTGTAGCTGCTTGGTCTTATGTAGCATCAGTAAGTAATAATTCTAATCTAAACAATTTCTGGAGAGAAACTGATAGTAACTTTATGCGTCAACAAGCTTATCTCACATTTTGTTGCGTATCTCAACATTCCTTCGTGTTGCGTCTTGTTCGATGTATTGATGACTCAAATACGATTTGTATATCACAAAAGAAATGCGATTTAATATTTATAAATCACTATAATTGATCACTCCTATGTTAGTCATTGAGGAGATTGGTACTGTAATAATCTACTAATAGCAGTAATATCATGGATACACTAGATGTACAACAACATCTGAAAAAGTTTCACCCCAGTCTAGAAAATAATGTTTATGCTGCTAATAGACTGCCCATGTATACCCACGTACCAACGTATATAATATGCAATTTGGATACAGATGATAAACCAGGGTCACATTGGGTAGCTTTATATATCAATACGAATGACGTCGGTCAATATTTTGATTCATATGGACGATCACCTGTACGATATCATCTAGAGTTTTTAAATAGGAATTGTAAATGATGAAACTGGAATGTTGATAGGATTCAGAATGAGTGGACTTCAGTTTGTGGCGAATATTGCTTGATGTATTTGCTATATAAGTTTCAGGGATGTTTAATGCATAGTTTTACACGTATATTTACAGGGAACACATTGTACAACGATATTTTAGTGGATGAGATGTTTCGCACCTATTTTATAGATAATAAGTAACAAGATTTTGTATTTTGTAAATAAAAATTGTAAAAAAAAATTAGGTAATGTGTTTTATTGATGATTCAGATTAGCGTTGTAGATAGGAACAAAGAAGTATAATACAATAGCACTGATAAGCCTACGCACACGCCAAGAAAGAATAGACAATGACAATATATAACAACAATGGGACGCTAATGACGATGGAGGCCCTCACCGGATATCAATTAGATATTCGTTAATTGATCTGCACATCTTCCGAACCGTGCATCCTACGCAAAAACCGACCGCAGATTCGTGATCAGAGCATGCCAAAACCTTACTTTTTTTTAGGATCGTGATTCGACGAACGTTGTACCACTTCTGACTCAGTGAGCCAAAACTGGTACAAAGTAACTACTCTGAAATTATGCATAATCGAATCTCAGGCTGAATTTAAATAATTCGTCTTATAGGCTTTGTCAACGTGTAATATTAGGTGATTCTGCGTCGAGGATAAACAAGGGTTGTACCTAAAATGGCGGCTGTACACTCTCGACGAGAGCTCTCGCGAGCCTCTCGCACGAGAATGTGCTTTCACGAGTGTAACCTTGTAATTACATTCTCGTTTATTCAGTTACGGTGACGGTGAGGTACGGCGAGGAGATGGTCGCATGATTTCGGACGGATGGATTTTTGTCTTTGTGGTAACAACGATGCGTAGGCTCCCAAGAAATAGGTTCATTGATAAATTCAAGAAAATTGAGTTTGCTTTGTTGGTTCCACATGATAAGTTTGTGGTAGTAGGAGAACTAAATATGCTGCACGCAACAACCTCTTGCGGTAGACTGAACGAAGCGCGAGTGTACAGTGACGTACTCGTGTCCACTCGCGAGGAAGGCGACGCCCTTTGACTCGTGCACCAAAAACCGACACGAGCGCGAGAGCACGCGAGGCGAGACGAGGGAAGGCAAGGCTCAGCGCAAGTATCCTGTACACTCTCGTCCTCGCCTTGTCTCGTGGACTCTCGTCGAGAGTGTACAGCCACAAGGGCCAATATCCAGTGTGCTTTGTTAGAGAACGGGAGGCAGCAAGCTGTGTATTTAAATATGCTATGTGTAAATGATATTAAAGCCCACTTATACGCTATGTACAATGTAATAGGCATGCCATTTATGACAGTAAAAAGTTTTTTTGGTTGTTTTTAAAGGGATTAGTGTTCACAATAAGTAACTTACTAAATCAATCTTGAGAAAAAATATTATTCTCATCTGAACTAACCGACACGCGCATCGGTAAAGCATGGTATTTGACTATACTCTTACTCCCCATCTAATCAAGATGTAATAAACCCAGATGCAATTAGCAAATTAAAATGTATTTTAATTTAATTGGATATCTTATGGTCGAGTTTTCTTAAGCAAAGCCTATACCTATTTCTATACTTTTGAGTACTGATTGTGATAACGCACTTAACGGGAACCACAAGGTTTTTGTTACATGTTGTACTTAGGTATATAATAGTATCTGAAACAGCATTGTACGATTAACATTCCATTAAATAAAATCGACTTCTATAGTAAACACTAAACACCAAACGTACATATCTGCGTTTTCTTACTTTTGTGTGAATGTGAATGGATAGCTAGATCAGATAGCATATCTTTCGACTGTAGATATATTTCGATAAAATTATTTTTTTTTATACTTACGAATTACAGATAATAAAATATGTTATAATATCTACTATAACAATTTTCCTTTCATTTTTCTTTCCCAGTTTCAGACTGACCCTATTCATTAAAGTTGCAAAAAATCCCTGTTAATGAGTAAATTGTCTCTTGAATTAAAGCATAAGGTATGAAATTGTAGTTTCAAATTGAAAAAAAAAATTATTTAATCGAAGTATTTATCCTAATCATGTAATTTTTTACCGGAACTCTGAGAATCTCGATTCCGCGTATTCTGACGGTTTTATGAAAAAAAGTTGTTGCATGCTGGATGGAAATTGACCAAATTTTGAGAAAAAATTATCTTAATTGCTTGGGGCTAGGCCTGGTGAGTACGGAGGATGACGTATGGTTTCTAAATACAGATCTTATAACGTTAAAACAGTTTGTCGACTAGTGCGAGATTTTGCGTAATCATGATGCAGTAGAAACGAAGATCAAATGACGAGTTGGGGTTCTTTCTATGAAAGTTTCGCTATCATTTTTTGAAGTTCATCACAAAAGATATCCGCTGTTATTGATACCTTAGATTTCGTAAATCTGTAGTGAATTATACAATGAAATGACCATCAAACAGTTACATTTATTACATTTTTTCTATGGGTGAGCTTCGCATTGCTTCATTTGAATGGGTTAAGCCATTGTTTTTGCTTGCAATTATCGTAGAGAATTTTCTTTTTGTCAGACATCAGAATTCCATCTAAAATCCTTTTATTTTTGTATTTAGTACCCATGAAAGCAAGACAAGCTTCGACGCGAGATTCTCTATGGAAATAAAATAATTTTTTATATGTGGTAGAGCCTTGTTGCAGTTGTATTAGTAGTATAGTTGTTGCACGAATGGGTCGGCTCGACCGGGGAAGGACCACGCTACAGAAATCCGGCTTAATGCTGCTGTATTTCGTATAATGAGTGTAGAGAACCGGAGGCCCTTTTTACTGGAAACGAGGCATTCCATCTTAGTCCTCACGGGTGACAACGCATCTGCATTTTGATTCGTAATCAAGGATAGATGAAGATGTCTATGGGCCACAGAAACCACTTACCATCAGGTGGACTGTGTTCTCGTTTCGTCACTCTATCCTATAAAAAAAATTCATAAGACACCAAATTCTCGAGTTTTATTATTTATCAATCGGTGCAAATGACGTCTGGTATGGCGATGGTCAAACCGTCTGTTAAGTGTGATAATTTAGGCAAATGCTTTTTGCAATGGGGGAAGCCTATATCCAGTAGTGATCTTTTGGAAGAACAACAAGAAGATGTATTTTTTAATTGAAGTGACAAACAAAGTTACAGTCCACCTGATGGTATGTGAGTACTGCAGCCTATACCACCTGCAGCCAACTTCAAAAGTAGAAGTCTGTAGAGAGTTACAGGTGCGTTGTCACCTCTGAAGACTAAGTGGTAATACCTCATAGCCTGTAATGACTCTGTCTGTGTGTAGTGAGGCTGTACTTGCCACGAAAGCATGGTGGGCGTGGCTTCCTGAGCGCGCTCACCATACATAATCGCGAAGTGTGCAGCCTCCGTCATTACTTCCTGGCGAGATCGGGTGATCCATTCTATAATGACGTCATTTCTAGTGATAAAGGGTTTACCCCTCTATCCTTAGCCAACGAACAATGGCTGGACCCAGCAGTGCTTAGCATTTCCGACCGGGAGACCGTATGGAAGGAGAAATAGCTCAACAGGAGGTACTACAGGGTCTACATGAGCCCTTCGTAGATGTAGTCGCCTCCACTCCTGCTTCCTGGCGACAGAAATAGGTTATATGTCTTCCGGAGATGACCAAGTCCAAGGCCTAGAGAGAAAAGTGATAGTACCCCACCGAGTATTTTTAAAAGTGTTTAGAAACCACTTAATTACTAAATTTGAATATCTTATCTATTCGCAGCCGGAAAAGCTGGAAGCTAACAAAAATGGTAAGTTATGTTATAATTGTTTCCACTAGTATTTCAAAGTTTTACAATCATTAGATTAAAACTAAAAAAGACCTGCCAATTTTAGCAGGTGAGTCCCATAGTAGCTCAGATGGTTAGCGCTCGCTGTAAATATCACAGTACCACGCGAGAAAACCGTGTTCGATCTCCGCAGGCATCAATGAAATTATGATATAAAGTGCTGATTTACCACTTGCTCGGTGGTGAAGGAAAGCATCGTGATGAAACGTGTACCTATGTCTGGAATTTTTTTAATTCACTGCTAGATGGCCATTTTAAAGTCAACTATCATGCCAATCTGGATGACGTTTGTCTTCACCATTAGGCACGTGGAAAATAAGTGTGGCCGGTACGGGCACGGATCGTACTCGGGTTGCATATTAATTAGCAGATTGCACTACATACAGGTTAAGATAGCATTTGAGAAAAATTAAAATCGCCCTTATTCCAAATTCTTTCGTTTACATAAATATTAAAGGAAATATGTATATGTGATAATTATATGCATAAGAGAATTTAAAATAAAATAAAATACATACTTTACGTGGTAGTGCCATACTGCTGGGTTAGCTCGACCGGGGAACTACGCTCTCACACAATTCCAGCGTGAAACAGCACAATAATGTTGGTGCGTATAGTGAATTTGGAAACCGGAAACCCTTTTTACTTAAAATGGCATCTGCATTTTGATCCTTAATCGAGTTTAGATTAAGGTGTTCATGGACCACAGTATCCACATACCATCAAGTGAAATGTGTGCTCGTTTGTCACCCATATAAAATACTTTATTTAAAAAAATACTAAGTCTATATGGAAATGAAGACTTGTTGACGTAACTGGTGTTTAATTGTATTCTACTTTACTACATTGTGTTAATTACTTACCCGACTGCCCCAAGAGGAGGGTATTATTTTTCGAGTGCACCTATGTTTTTTAAAAAGGATTTACGTGGTAAAGCCATGCTGCAGCTATATTTGTAGTATAGTTGTATATATATATGGGTCAGCTCGGCCGGGGGAGGACCACGCTCTCACAAAATACCAACGTAACGTAACGTTTGGGACCGGATTTTTTACTGCAAACGAGGCATTCCATCTTAGTCCTCAAGGGTGACAGCGTATCTGCATTGTGATTGTAGTCGTGGATAGATGTAGATGTCTATGGGCCGTTGTCACCCTCATACTTTAAAAAAAACCTATGTAGATAGATAATTCTTTATTGTCTACCAAAACGTAATAACCAAAACATAAACGAAAATAGAAGAAAACATATGTAGGTATGTATGTATATTTCTTTGGCTCGCACTATACCCTAGAAATATAATAATCTAAACGGCTAGACGTATTTTAAGATATTATGGGGTGTCGTTGGATTTACCTTAGTTGTGGAAGTATAAAATATATATAAATTCATACCCTATATTATTATATAGGGTATAATTTTTTATCTTTTCCGTAAACTGTTACACGCAGAGTTTTTTTTTAAATTACTGTTTTGTTTCAGATAATATAAAACAAATGACTGTCACATTGGCAAATTCGCCTACGTCGTCTATACCTAATCAGCAGCGCCTGGATTCCGAACAGGAGGTTTTATCAAATATTTAATACTTACCATTACCAATATTTTAATACTTACCAAACATAAGCCTCCTTATAGATTGTGCCATATTGGATAATAGTTGTAGTTATGTTTATTTATTTTTGTATTTACACGTTTATATTTACATTCACGTACAAATTATTCTTATGTTTTATGGCACCTACTTAAGTTCTCTGTTTAGCTCGTGGTTCATCATCATCATCATCATTACAGCCCTTCACAAGTCCACTGCTGAACATAGGCCTCCCCCAAGTAATGTCACAAAGCACGGTCCCGAGCCACCTGCATCCATCGACTTCCTGCATATCTTACCAGGTCGTCACTCCATCTAGTGGGGGGTCGCCCTAACACTACGCCTACCGGTACGAGGCTGCCACTCGAGAACCTTTCTTCCCCATCGGTTATCGGTTTTTCGAGCTATATGGCCGGCCCATTCCACTTTAGCTTACTAATCCTTTGGGCTATGTCGGTCACTCTGGTTTTACTGCGGATATCCTCATTTCTGAGTCTATCACGCAGAGAAACTCCGAGCATAGCCCTCTCCATAGCTCGCTGAACGATCTTGAGCGTCCTCATACGGCCAGCAGTGAAGGACCACGTCTCAGATCCGTAAGTCATCACTGGCAACACGCACTGGTTGTACAATCTACTTTTTAAAGATTGAGGTATACCTGACGAGAAGATATGTCGTAATTTCCCGAAAGCTGCCCAGCCGAGTTGAATCCGTCGATTGACCTCTCGGTCGAAGTTGGACTTGCCTAGTCGGACCACTTGTCCCAGGTAAACGTACTCGTCAGCAACTTCGAGCATAGTGCTCCCAACAAATACCGGCATAGGTGTGACATGGACATTAAACATAATCTTTGTTTTGTCCATGTTCATCTTAAGATCTATCCGTTGGGGGGCACTATTGAGGTCATTGAGCATAGTGCTTAAGTCCTCCAGCGATTCTGCCATAAGGACTATATCGTCGGCAAATCGAAGGTGAGTGATGTACTCGCCATTGATGTTAATACCGTATCCTTTCCAGTCCAGTAGCTTGAAAACGTCTTCCAATGCAGCGGTGAAGAGTTTCGGAAATATAACGTCACCCTGTCTTACACCTCTCTGCAGTTGGATAGGTTTCGAGCTCTGGTTCTGTACTCGGATAGCCATCGTAGCCCTACTGTACAAACACTTCAGCACTTCGATATACCGATAGTCAACTTGGCACCGCTGAAGGGACTGTAGCACCGCCCAAATTTCGTCGGAATCAAAGGCTTTCTCATAGTCCACATACGCCAGGCAAAGTGGCAGATTGTACTCTTCAGTCTTCTGTACAATCTGCCGCAAGGTATGTATGTGGTCTATGGTACTGAAGCCTTTTCGGAAACCGGCTTGTTCGGGAGGCTGGAAGTCGTCGAGTCCGCGTGCGAGACGATTCGTAATGACTCTCGAAAACAGCACGTAGACGCGGCTCAGAAGGGAAATCGGTCTGTAGTTCTTCAAGAGAGCGTTGTCGCCTTTCTTAAAGAACAAGACCACCGCACTTCTGCTCCACGGCTCTGGAGTAGTGCCACCATGGAGGACGGAATTGAAGAGCTTCTGAAGGACTTCAAGTACCGGTGTTCCACCCGCTTTCAGAAGCTCCGCTGTAATTCCATCCTCGCCTGGGGCCCTGCCGTTTTTAAGGTGCTGGAGAGCCGTTCTAATCTCGCTTAGACTGACGTCCGGGATATCATCGGAAAGTTGTCTGATAAGACTTGCTCTTGGATCGTTACTCACACTTGCGTGTGGCTACAAAGATGATGTGTACAGCTGCCCATAGAACCTCTCAATCTCACTCAAAATCTCAGGTGTCCCGGAAACGATGCTGCCACACTCAGTCTTCAGCTTTGACAGTTGGCTCTTACTGTCAGACAGAGCTGCAATAAAGATTTTAAATAAATAAAAATAATAAATAAATAATAGCCACAGTTGCCACGCTGTGCAGGTGGATTGGCATTCGCACTTTCTTTTTGTTGTTTTGAGCAGTTATCGAGAAAATTCTCATGTTGATCTCCCCGTATTAATTATATTTATATTATTTAATAATCCACACTATATATTACAATATTTCATAACATCATGTAACTGGAATCACTATTAATTTGCGTTAATCTGTTGTTGATTGTTTAAAATCCTATATAATCAATCTCAATATGAAAAAAAAATTATAAAACGAATTGTAGAATATGTATTCTTTTCTGTTTGCTAATTAAGGATTAAGGATTTTCAACAAAAGATTCACAACATTTTGTTTAAAAAAAACCTTGTGTGCTTCCTCAGTTCCAAGCTTCCAAGCGAGCTTTAAAGCTATAGCAGCCGTTCCTTCGATCGTCTGTCAATCTTTATCTCTCTACCCTTCAACACTAAATATAAAGTAAGAATGCGCAACCAGTTGGGTATATACTATGGTTGTAGCACGAATGTGTCCGCTCGACCGGGGTAGGACCACGCTCTCACTGAATACCAGCGTAAAATAGCAGCTTAATGCTGCTGTGTTTCGTATGGTGAGTGTAGAGAACCGGAGACCTTTTTTACTGGAAACGAGGTACTCCATCTTAGTCCTCAGGAGTGGCAACGCATCTGTATTTTGATTTTTAATTGAAGATAAATGCAGATGTCGATGGGCCACAGCATCAACTTACCATCAGGTGGACTGTGTGCTCGTTTGACACCCTTATTTTGTAAAAAATAAAACAAAACCAAATTGATTGAAACCAAGGGCTGTTCATTAGATATTTGTATATAGTTAAACTGCGACAAATCTTGTCCGATATTCCTCAGAACCTTAAGACGAAATTGTACCTCGTGTTGCTAATAACTTATGGAACCGAAACGTGGCACTTCACAGCTGGACGTATGTGTAAGCTCAGTCACTCAGCATTGCTCGGAATTTCTCTGCAGGATTAAATCTGTAACGAGGATATCCACAGAAGAACAAGAGTGACATAGCCCGGCGGATCTGTAACCAAGTGGCGATGGGCTGACTGTATAGCTCGAAGAACCGCCAACCGATGAGGCAGAAATATTCTCGAGTAGCAAACTCATGCTTGCGCAATGTTGGGGAAATTTGGCGCAATCTATAGCGGAAGCCTACATTCCGCGGATTTGTGATGGGTTACAGTGGACGATTTTAAACAAAAAGAAACCTGCATGTTTTATATAGCTCAATCGTGAAATCAATTATATGAACTGGTGTTTAAAACCCTTAAGGGTCGACGCACACCACATTTCAGCGACAAAATGTGGTCGCGTATGAATAGTGTCGCTGCAGCTTTCTGCAGTTGCATTGTGGTTGCGTTGCGACCCTGGTCGTGGTGTCGACGTAATGTTGTTTGCGATGTGGCCGGTCGCTAGTTCCGTAGTGGTCGCATTGTTTTCGGTATCACTCACGCAGTCGTTGACGGCAAAATGTGGTACATGTAAATTGTACTATTCATTTCCAATACAAAATGCACGCCCACGTGTTGTGGTACGTGTGGGTTGACCCTAAGAATTGTGTGAAAATATATCGTTAGTTGTGACGATAATGGGCTGTTATTTTACATATTGAACAGTTTTATCTGTTTGTAAATTTAGAAGCGTTTGATTGTGACGCGGACCGCGGGTTCGAATCTTTCACTGAGCAACTAACCTACTAACTAATAATTGTTCCGGTTCTGGATAGACGATCATGTAAAATTTGTATATAAGATAAATAATCGCAAAAATACTGGAATTCGGGAACAATATTAAAAAAAATCGAAGATTGAAGTCCATCAAGACGGTAATGGGCAGCCCGACAGACATTCCAATGCCCTATAAGTATCCCTTTCAGAAATGAGAGGCCCAGCCGTGGTACGTACATAGGTTGTATACAATTCAAAAAAATATATATACCTAAATAGGTGTCCTTGATGCCAATTCCCATGGTAATTCGGACCCAGAAAAAAAAAACTAAGTTTGCAAATCTACTGTGTACCTATTTTAAGTAAAGGTTTTTCAACATACGCAAATGTGAAATCGCCTTTTAATAAGACTTAAATAAAATAACTATTTACATTTTAGTATATACCCTGTATTTTATTAAATTATATACGTCCACCAGAGATTTATATTCTAATTTCAAATTATTTTTAGATATATACGAATAAGATGTCTAAACAAAGGAGAATATCTGCCGCAAAGAAAACTTGATAGAATACTAAACTAAAATTCGATAGTATAGTTTGGTACTTATATGTGTGATCCATGTTTATATGTACGTGTTTTTTTGTATAAAATAAATGTCAATTTTCAAAAACAAAATAAATTATACCAGTCTTAGCTGATGTTTTCTATATATATATATATATACTAAGTATATCCTTTGTCACTTCCTAAAAAAGTAATAAAAATAAAACAATATAATAGGTTTCAAATTTTATTGAAAATAATAAACGAAAATTATATACTTATGGTCCCAAATGCCAAAGTACAAACCAAAAGAATTAGAATATGTATTTTTAGTCAGCAAAACTAGTTGAGGAAGAGGAATGTAAAAAAATGCGGATACGAAATCATCAAAATAATAAAAATCCTTAAAAGAAGCAAACAGCATAATATTCATAAAATGAATATAAAGTAGAAAATAATATTTTTTTATGCCTAGCATTATTAAATATTATATGATATTTTTATTTTGTAATTACATTTTGTTACATAACTACACACACTTATCCTTACCTATAATTAAAAGCACATATTACTATAAGTAATTTTTGAAGTAGTAAATATTTTTATAATTAAATGTCAATTTTAAGTAGGTAGTGATTACTAGGGAAGTATATAGTAGATAATGCTTAATTCCTTTTTAGTATTGTTTTCTCATATTACACCAAAAGATGTAGATTTAAATTTATAACATTCTTAGTCCAACACAGGATTAAGTTGCTATAGCGAGTTTTTTTTATGAATTTAGTAGTTGCATTAAACAATAATTGTTAAGTATATTACAATTTTTTTAAAATATAACAACTTAATCACTTGGCTATGATGTATAAACTTTATTATTAGGTGTTTTAAAAATATATAGTCCTTCTTAATTCAAATATTAAGGTTTATAGTAAATAATAAAACGGTATTATTTCTGCATTCAGTATGTTTAAAAATATTAAGCAGATAGGTATTTCTATATAGAACTGTTACTTTAGTTTAATACAGGTCAGTGATATTTTTAATAAAATAAACATCTATCATAAGTAACAACGCCTTTTTATGAGTGGTAAGAATATTCTTATGTTATTTTAATATAAGATAATGAGCTAACATGCCACCTGACACTAAAGTTATTGCATCTCATGAACACATATGTATGTCTAACTCCATACAGAAAAAGGCACAATTGCATTGTCATCCCTGAAGGATACCAAGTGCAATGCATCACATTTTATAATTAGCTCTATAATTTACAACTGGCACTCTTACCTTTCAAAGTAAAACACAACCATAAACCATAAAACAGGTGCACTGATGCTTGAAAAAAAAAAGGTAGCCAAACCAATTGTACTTAAAATATATTTGTAACATATAAATATAAATGCTGCTTAATGGTCACATTTGCTTACAAATTGACATTTTTACCAACTGAATGAACTATTGACGCTGACTGAGTCAGAACCGTATTTGTGGCATATGTTTCAGCAGTGGACTTGTGAAGGGCTGTAATGATTAAGATGATTTACCAACTAATATTTTTTAAAACACCTTATATTTTGACATATTCATATGCCAAGTATTTTGTTTTTAATTATCAATCTACTTCCGAGGCTGCTGAATGTGCATGGTAGGCTTCATATTGATATGTGCTGGAGGCTTTGGACTGTGGGCAACTTGTGCTGCTTCTGGAGTGAAATCAGCATTGCCTCTGTTAGGTGCTCCAGAGATGGAGACAGGGTTAGAAGGAACCGGTGATGGTCCTGATAATCCAGTTAGATCTTCATTGGCAGGCTCTTTGTAGTCCTTAGGAAAGGGAGATTTGTGTTGAGTGATTCTCATACCACCAGCTTTAACTGCAAAAATTTAGTAAAAAACTATTAGGTAATCTTTGAAATCATTTATCAAGTCTTTCACTGGATACTAAAACCCCTTCTTTTTCTCTCAGGATCTTTCTTTTTATAGATATTGATATTTACATTCATCTATATTATATAGATATTACATTCATTATTATACATATCTCAATATGATTCAAAAATATATAGTTCTGTTTACAAGGAATCAATAATATGTATACTAATATTTTGCTAATGAAATTTACAATTGATTTATGAATATTTAAGGTATTGGTGAAATTCATAGTATTAAATATATCTAAAATATAAACACAATAAATATTTTTAATCCTACCATTACCCATGTAGTGTTGGTGAGAGAATAGTTGTAAGAGACAAAAAAAACGGGAGACAGGCAACAGCATCTTCCTGATAATAACTCATCAAATAATAAGAAACTGAGCTGACCAACCCAATTTGCTAAGCATGATAATCATGAGGCAGTGTGTGAGCAAGGCCAATGTTCAGAAGTGAACTTTTGATTGGAGGGCTGTAATGATGTTGATGAAGCCTACAATCTTATAAGGTATTTTACGCTATCTCTGGTGCTGTGTAAATAGAACCCTAATGTTACCAGAGAAGAGTTCTGCCAAATCCTAATATTATAATTGTCATGGGTTGGGTTTACAATTCAGTCGCCTGGATTTGAAGATTCTGTCACAGTGGGGGTGTCAAGGGGGTTTATCTGAAGCACCCCCACTCGATTTTTACTGCCGGAGCAGCGTCGAAGTATTTTTAATTATTATTTAAAAACATTGGTAAATGACTAATTAATTACGTTTTTGATGTTTCATCTGTCAATGTCATATCGATATATAGTACTGAATCGATCTAGTGAATCGATATTTCACCCTAGAGAATCGAGATCGAAACTTTTTCTGTTTTATTAAGATTTGTAAAATTATTTACAATTAGTTGAATATACCCTAACTCGTAAAGAATGACAGTTTTTAATTCAATCATTCAATGTTATCTGTATTTATTGTATCTTTTGATATTGTAAATATAAACCTTTAACACAAATCAAAAAAAGATCGATTTTTGCGAAATCAATCTTTACGATTTCGATTTTTTGTGAATCGATTCATCCAATTTCGATTTGAATTGATTTAAAAATTTCGCTAGGCCGGCCATTTTGTTGACAGTTTTTTGTCATGCCGTTGCTTCAGAGTTTCATAATTTTGGTGATAGGTGGAATATTTGTGGTGGCGGAATACTGCTAAATATCGCAAAGATCCTTTCTTACAAATGGTGGCAGCCATAAATTATGTTTATAAATTAAAATAGTTATAAAAGTTAATGTTTTGGTGTTACATTGGGTGCAATAGCAAGCGAAACGAGCCTAGGACGTGGGGCACCCTGACTCGGACAGGTTATGTTAGAAGGGGATGATGGGGTCGAGTAAGCGAGCGAATAGACCCTGTCATTCCCTTCGTGGTTATTTTTTTTGTAAACCACTCAGAAGTAGGAGCCCTGCTAAGCGGGGCTCCGTCGACCGGGCTTCCCTCTGCTGCACTACGTTAAGTGGCGTGAGGCTTCCGTCCCCCAACTCTCTCTCCCCATAAATCAGGTTAAAATTTTCATAAAAATTACGAAACAGAACCTCAAAATGAGATTTTTAAAAATTTATAAAAAAAAAACTAAGCACGTCCGGCAGGAAGGGGAAGTAGGGGGTGACTCTACAACTCCTCCTCCACCCTCACACCACCCCCCACCCCATATTCAGGCGACCGAATTGTAAACCTTACCCATTGTCATCCTTATCAAAACCTAAATAAAAAAAAATATGTTTATATTACAAACACCCATACTAAGGTTATCAAGATGGAATTTTTAATTTAATATGGTAGCTATTTGATATGGTTGCTAGATAAGAACATTGTTGTTGATGTAGAAATGAGTAGTTAATAATAGCCGAACACCGATCGCTTTTTTAACCTTGAAACTTACATTACTACTACATTCTTTGTTTGAAAACATTAATTTATTATTTCATATAGTCACAAATACAACCAAATAATGAAATCATGATACGAAAAATTACAATTAAAGTATATATGTGGCGCAATAGCATAATATATTTATTAAAATATACACTATAAACAAAATATTTACAACTACGGTCTTGTTTTATTGCACCTGCATTTGATTTAGAGGTCATAGTCAACAAATAAAGTCTAAACTTACCTGCCGGAGGGTGTCCCGCTTTAAGTTGAGTAGTTTCTTCGGTAGACGACATATTCTATTCTTTAAAATCGGAATTAAAACTTTAATGTGCGACGGAAATCTGTCTGGTGTCTACTATTTTTTATTGTAAATATTAGTGATGCGATGACAATTGACAACGTGTAAGCACCATAGATTACTGTATATAGGCAGTAGGGGTAGGGACACGGCAATAACCAATGAGTATATAACACATGGTACTTTTTATTTGCCTGAGTATATAATCAGTAATCAGCTAGGCATGAGACCAATATATCAAAACATAACTAATAACGTTATGTTATTAAAATATCATATCATATCGATAAACCTAAGTACATAACCGTTATCACATATCCAACCAAAACCAACTACCGAACCAACGTACGAAAACGAAACGCATAACGTAAGCTGTGGAACGATCTGCCAACACGGCCAACGAACCAATCGGTGTCCTTCGTTGAAATTTGTTGCTTCTCGTTCTTGTACGATACCATAATTAAGAATAGACATGAATCATATGTGGTATATATATATATATATATATATATATATATATATATATATATATATATATATATATATATATATATCTACATAGTATATATAACGGTTACCTATGACAACAAATATGAAATACATATGTATGAAAATAAGAACTGTATTAAATCAAGCTTGCAACGATCTTTTACCATGCTTACGGATTTGACTTTTAAAAACAAACTTGTTGGGACCTTTTTTAATGTCAAGAGGGATGTGGTTCAAGAGTCTGACGGCCGTGAGGGAAGAAACTCCGGAGTACATGCATCATTCACAATTGTAAAATGGGTTCAGAGTATAGGTATAATATCTGAGCTGTAGAGATACATGGTCATATTTACGAAGACCATAAGTGTATCT